GATGCTGCCGATAACGATGATGGTGCTGATGAGGTTGATGGTGATGGCGACGATGATGATGATGATGATGATGATGATGATGATGATGATGATGATGATGATGATGATGATGATGATGATGCTGATGGTGATGCTGATGCTGCTGCTGATCATGATGCGGATGGTGATGTGGTGGTGATGATGATGTTGATGATGATGGTGATGCTGATGATGGTGCTGATGACGATGATGGTGAGGATGATGATGTCGATGATGCTAATGCTAATGATGATGCTGATGATATGTTTGTGATGCTGATGAGGATGATGACGGTGATCATGGGGGTGCGTGCACAGTAATGACTTAGCGGGGTTTGGGGTGTCGGTCTCATCGATCCATGTTGCCGTTGATCCGAAGTCATCCTGGCTCGAAAGGTTCTGGCACCGAATGCAGTCGGTGATCGGGGTCGTTCTTGCCACACTGACTATCATCCTGCGGGACGCCGCCGAGCGCCATTGGAGCCGCGGACCTCTCCCCGCGGTGGGAGAGCCGACGCCTGCCCCCGCCGCGAGGGTGGAGGTCTCCTGTGCTGAGTCCTCTCTGAACATCGGCTTGGTTGAGGACACCATACGACGGGCACGATCCGAGAGCTGCGTGTGTGAGCTGACCTGCGACTCGACGGAGCGGGACACTCGCCTCGTCTTCATTGCGACCTTCTCGATCTGTGCTGGGCAGTCCTGCATCCTCGTGCTCTACTGTGGCTGGCGCTGGGCTTGCGCTTGGCGACATGGCGCTGGTGGTGTCTCGTCGAGAACGGCTCGGGAACACAGGAAGGCCACTTTCGGTGCCAGGACGGATTGTGGCCATCAGGTACGCTGGCGAGGACCTCTGGCATGAGAGAATTGTGATGGGCCCTGGGTTGCGCGATGAGGCGGGAGTCGTGACCAAGTGGTGGATCCTGACGCCGGACGGGGATTTCTACGAGGAAGACATCTCCATGGAGGCGGGCGAGGGCGAGAGGCTAGTGGTGCTCGACCTGGCTGGCTCCTGCCCTCGCGCGCTGCGCGGCAGGTTCTATAGGTTCGCAGGCGACGCCTATCCGAGCGATGACCGTGTCCGCCGCGAGGCCCGGCAGGCGTTGGCTAGGATGCGGGCCGCTGGGCAGGAGCCTCCTACCTCGCTGCACTTCGTGACTGAGGACGGCGTCCTGGCCCCTCTTTCGGGTGTCGGGCGACGGCTCCGCCGAGGGGGCGCTGTTGGCGTGGGTGGCGGCGATGCGGGGGCGGTCGTTGTTGACGATGGGACCGCCACCTCCGAGCTGCCCCTGCCGCCTGGGGCGGCGCCACCTGGCGGTGAAGCCAAGCCCGTCGCGGGCGAGGCCGTGGCGCCCTACCTGGCCGTGCTGCCCGAGCGCCCAGCCCTCCGCGAGGGCTTGGTCTTGCTGGTGACCGAGAACGCCGAAGGCCACGAGACGCTGGGCATGGAGGTCACCCCGCGCGCTGGCGACGTGATCATCGCGACGAGGGACGGCCTGGTCCACAGGCGCGGCAGTTTCCTCCGTGTCCAGGCGGTCCCGAGCTGCGATTGCGTGGAGTTCGCGAGGGCGCTGAGGGCACGGTCTGAGGGGCTCTCTGGCGCTGTGGGGCCCGCCGCCCTGGCTTCTCCACGCGCTGCCGAGCAGGCCCCTTTGGACGAGGGCGTCCGTGCGTTGCGGGTCGGTCGACTACGACGAAGTGGGAGAGAGGTGAACGACCTGAAAGAAGGCGGTGCAGGAGAGCAGGGAAGAGCCCATCTCCGCCGTGGAGGTGCAGGGCCCACCAGGTACGCTTCACTTCGCCCGCCATGTCGAGCGATGCGGGGGCGACCCGCGGCGCTGGTGGCAGGAGTTCGCGCGCGGCAACAACATCTCCAAGACGGACCGCGTCTACCATGAGATGACCACGTTGACGGAGAGTTTCAAGTTGTTCGGCGAGTACGATCAGCTGAACCCGGGCGCGTCCGCGGGCGTCGAGAAGATGGTGCGGCGCATTCTGGGTGTGATAGACGCCTACTCCATGGGCGGCGGGGTGCCGTCCTGGCGCATGGCCGCCGTGTACGAGGGGGAGGCTAGCTACGGCGACGCCATCGCCCCCGCCCCGCGGAAGTGGGGAGTGAACGAGCTGAAGGACCAGGCGGATATCGAGAGTACTCGGACGCGCCAGCTTCGGCCTGCGGCAGAGGGCGCCGACGCGGGAGGCGGCCGGGGTGCCGCCGACGGCGGACGAGGCCGCGGAGGCGGCGGTGATGCAGGTCGGGGCGGGCGGGGCGGCAGAGGCTTCGCGGCCCCGAAGGATGGTTGACCAGGATGACGGGCTGTGGACAGGCCCTCCACGCCGCAGCCCGCTGAAGGTGGGGGATTTTCGGGCGCCTGGTCGCCCCCGCCTATTTGAGCAGTTTCCGCAGGCTCTTCCTCGGCGCGAAGCTGCGCCTGCTGACGGCGGCCGTCGTCGTGGGCGCTACCGTGCTCGCGATCACATACGTCAGTTGGTCGAGGCATCTTCCAATGCACTTAATTGGCTTGCGGAGACTGATGCCCGCGGCCCCGCGGGGGTCCGAGGTCGCCCAGGTCGCGTCCTCAGTGGATGTGACGCCTCCCGTCGGGATGCCCCCCTTCAGTTGGCTGAGGGCCTGGCGTGCTTGGAGTCGCTCGCCGAGCTCCAGGTGCGCGAGGGGGCTCGGGATTTCTACAGGCCGCCAGAAGTGGCCCTTCGGGAGTTGCTCTGTTAGAAGGCGTCTGGCTACAGGATGGACGCTTCTTCGACTACGCTCGCGCCGTGCCAGCGCGGTCGGGTCTCTTTGCCCGAGTCGGACCAGCGCCCCGAAGGTCTCGGACTTAGTTGGGGACCGTGGTCGGTACTTTCTGGGGGGCGCAGGGGGGCGCATGCTGGATCCGACCTTCAGCAACAGTTTTGATGGCGACGCTGAGCGATGCTATGTGGATCAGCAGCTCGCCATCAGCCCCACGCTCTACGCCCGCTTCATCCGTGACCTCAAGGCCAGGAACATGCTGGTCTTCGCCGGATGGGCTCATGAGCGAACTGGTTTCTTTTTGGTTCGCAAAAAGAACGGCAAGCTCCGCCTCATCCTCGACGCGCGGCGGACCAACAGGCGGTTTGCGCCGCCGCCGCGCGTCGATTTGTTGACGGCCGAAGGTCTCGGTCGGATCGAGGTTGAGCTTCCCGACGGTCGAGAATATTCATCCTTTTTTTTGCGGCACTGCTGACGTCCAGGGTGCTTTTTCATCGGATGGGCATCCCGACTTGGCTCTCTCGCTGGTTCGGTTTGCCCCCCGTCCGCGCTGCCGATGTGGGGCTGGCGGATGTCCTGGATGGCCCAGTCGGGCCCGACGAGATGGTGACGCCTATGCCTCGGCGTCTGCCCATGGGCTTCGCGTGGGGCCTGTTCCTGGCGCAGGACATCGACGAGGAGGTGGCTAGCCAGGTGCTGAGCCGTGCCGAGCTGCTTCGCGATCGGGGCCAGCCCCTGGTCCTCGCGCTGCGGGGCGAGGCCGCTTCGGACACCGGGCGCTGCATCTACGTCGACAACATCGGGGTTTTCGGGTCAGACGGCAGCGTGGTTGCGTCGAAACTGGAGGACGTCTGCGCGGCCTTCGAGGCGAAGGGCCTCGCCGTACACGAGGTGGCCACCTCCGACTCGGGCGTCGAGGCGCTGGGGGTGCTCCTCGACGGGCGGCGGCGCCGCGCGAGGCTGACGGCCAAGCGCTTCTGGCGCGGCAGGGGTGCCTTGTTGGCCTTGACAGGGCGCCGTCGCGCCTCTGGGCGCCAGGTAGAGATCCTTCTTGGGCATGCCACCTTCTGTGGGCTGGTGATGCGCGAGACGTTGTCGGTGTTCGCGACGGTCTACCCGTTCATCAGCCGGCGCTGCGATCAGCCCGCGTCCCTCTGGCCCTCCGTCGCCGACGAGCTGCGCGCCTTCGCGTGCCTGATGGTTCTCCTGGCCCCCAGCTGGGAATCGGACTGGGGCCCTCTCGTCGTGGCCACCGACGCTTCGGAGACGGGCTACGGCATCTGCGCGCGCTAGTTCGCCGCCGAGGACGTTGCCGCCGTGGGCCGTTGCCGAGAGCGTGGCCGCTACCTTGCAGAGGGGCACGTCGGAGCTCGCGCGGCGGCGCTCGGTGCCGAGCCGCCCCCTTGCGAGCCCCTTGGCGTAGAGGGCTGCTTGGGCCGCGCAGACCTCCAGCCTGATCCGCACTTCGCCGAGGTCCCCAGCTGCATGACCGACCCCGTCGCTTGGACGGTGGTTGGCGGCTGGAAATTCGAGCAGCCAGAGGACATCATGGCCCTGGAGGCTCGCGGCATGTTGCGCGGGCTGGAGCGAGTGAGTCGCACCAGGCATGGTCGCGACATTCGCCGGCTTCTCTTTGCCGACAACCTAGGCCTCGTTCTGGCCGCAGGAAGGTGGCGATGTCGGAATTTCAAAATCTTCGTGGTTTTGCGCAGGATGGCGGCGTGGTGCCTCAGTCGTAACATTCACCTCTCTGTGCGCTGGATACCGCCCGAAAGGAATCCAGCCGACGCCCCCTCCTGTTTGATTTACGGTCGAATTCGGTAGCCCCTGAGAGGGGCGATGTTGACCGCCCCCGCTTCCATAAGCGCGCCCCCCATGACGATTTGCAGGGCCTTGGTGAGGCGGAGGGGCCCTGTAACTTGATGGATCAGTTTTGTTTTTTTGTTTTTTTGCTCCCGAGGCGTCTCGGCAAGATCTAGGGCATCATGAGAATCAGGCGTTGCATTGGGCCCCCAAGCCAGGGCCTCCTCGTCAAATCAGGGGCCCCTCCGTAGAAATTCCGACTCACGCCGTGTCATATGCTACCGCCCCCGTCTATCTGCACCGCCAGAGTTCGGGTCTTAGCCTCGTCGCGGCCCGAAGTGCTGCCGGCAGCTGCGCCGACCAGAAAGCGCCGACTGGAGAGTTCGTTGGGGCCGCCCGCATCACTGCAGCGCACTTCCCGTGTCCTCAAGGCGGAGGGCGAGTTGGGAGTCGCCGCTCTGGTCCGCAGCGCCTGCGAGCCTGGCCTTGCGGACTCCGAGGTGGGACTCATCCTGGATCCGCTGAAGGGGTTGATCAAGACCGATCCGCGCTTCAGAGAAGCGTCGAGCTCGGACAGCGAGGGCGAGGTCACGGCTGCCGTTCGACTGCGAACGCTTCCTCGCAGCAGGAAAGCCACGCTGACGAAGCTTCTGGCGTCCGAGGCGCTTCCAGAGCTCTCCCACTTGACGCTCGGAGAGCGCGCAGCGGTGAGGCCTCGGACCGAGGCGCAGTATGCCCAGGAGGTGCGCCAGTTCAGCCTGTTCTGTGGCGTCGAGCGTGCGGCGGAGATCCCGATCGAGAATCTGGACGATCTGCTGGTGCAGTACATCGATCATCAGATCAAGTCGGGAGTGACGGCAGCCCGTGGCATGAAGCTGTTGGCTGGAGCGGTCCACGCTCGGCCGCAAGCGGGGAAGCAGGGCCCGCGCGCGTTGCAGCGCAGCTGGAGGGCGCTGAAGGGATGGCAGAACCTGTGTCCCTCGACCTCCCGTCTGCCCGAAGCTTGGCCGATCTGGTGTGCCATCGTGAACGGGCTGTGCGGCATGGGGCGTTGCGATGTGGCCCTGTTCATCTGTCTCATGTGGAGCGCCTACGCGCGCCCTATCCAGCTGATGGCGCTCAAGCCCGAGTACTTGTGCGCCCCTAGCCGAGTCGCCACTTACTGGACCGTTCAGTTGAACCCAGAGGTCGACGGGGTGCCCTCCAAGGCAAAGGAGTTCGATGTGACGATCGAGTTGGACCACGACTGGTGGCTCGATCTGACTTCCATGCCCCAGGCTCTTCGATCTCGGCCTCCCGGGGTACGCGTCTGGATCTTCAGCTATCCCCAGCTGGCTGCTGCTGTGCAGAAGGTCGCCCGCGGGCTTCAACCTGGTGGTGTACCGGGCCAGGCGCAGTGGCGCCATTACGGACGTGGCCTCGCGTCGGCGCACGCTGGCAGAGGTCAAAAAGCGGGGCGGCTGGAAATCAGACCGCTTGGTGGTGCGATACGAGAAGGGCGCGAGGTTGAGCTCGACGTGGATGGCCCGTCCGAGCTGGCTACGGCAGCACGCGGCGCAGTGCGAGGAACAGTTCTTGGAGATCTTGGTGCGCGGCCGCGTGCTGCCAAAGCCCGCTTTGCACTCCCGATAGATGAGAGACGCCTCTTTGTCTTGGTCGTGGGCCAGGCTTTTAGTGCTCCTGCGCATGTCGTGGCCGGAGGATTTCTCGTTCGGCATGCCGAGGATTGCGATGTGTCAGACTCTCTTTCATTCAGGCTCAGAATTGACATGAGAAGGGGGAGCATCGGCGGAGTCCTAATCTCCCTGAGCGACCAGTTCATCTCTCGAGGGCTCGTCCGCTTACTGTCGTGCGCGGTGGCTAGGGGTCTTCCCTTGGCGGTCAGTTGCTTCAAGTGTGTGAGTGAGACAGCCACCGCGCGCCTTTTTATGCTCCCCTCCCCTCCTGTCGTTTCTCACATGTGTAGATGCAAAGGGGCTTGTAGGCTGAGCGTCGCTACGTTTATCAGCAACATCTTGCATAATGACGCTAACCGCCTAGAGTTGCAATGCCCTGGCGTCAGGGCTCGGGGCGGCCGCGAGAAACGCGTCTCCCGACCCCGCCCCGCGGAGCTTACCCCCGCGTGTTTCCATGAAGCCGCCGTTTTCACAGTTTTGAGCGCCCTGCGGGCGCGATGCCTTACGGTGTGAGAACAGTTTCTGTTTTGGGAATCTGACTTGGGTGTGATTTCAAGGAGAGGCGAGTTGGGGCGCCCGCCTCTCCAGCCTCGGATCCGAGTCGCTTTGGCCAGCGAGCATAGTAGAGAGAACAGTTCCCCGATGAAAACCAAGGGTAAGTCATGGCGGTGCGTGCGCAGTAATGACTTAGCGGTGGTTGGGGTGTCGGTCTCATCGAGCCATGTTGCCGTTGCTCAGGAGTCATCCTGGCTCCCCTCCCTTCCGAGCCGTGGCCCGCCCTCCCTTCTCGCTTCGCTTCTGCCAGGTGTGATTTCAAGGAGAGGCGAGTTGAGGCACCCGCCTCTCCAGCCTCGGATCCGAGTCGCTTTGACCAGCGAGCGCTGTAGAGAGAACCGTTTCCCGCTGAAAACCAAGGGTAAGTCATGGTGATGATGACGACAACGATGACGATGACGATGACGGTAACGATGCTGATTCTGATAATGATGAGGGCGATGCTGATAATGCCGATGATGATTACGATGATGATGATGATGGTGGCGGTGTTGACGATGATGATGATGATGCGGATGGCGACGATGACGATGATGATGACGATGCTGATGCTCATGATGGTGGTGGTGGTGTGGCGATGTTGATGATACACAACATGATGCTGATGATGATGGCGAGGGGGAGGAGAAACACGATGAATATGAGGAGGATGAACAACCATACGAAGAATCATAATACGTAGACAGCTTGTAGTATTATT